CGGCATCTTCAGAGTGCAGGAGCACAGACAGGAGCAGTTCTCTCTGTGCAATTTATGAAAGTTTATGTCCAATGAAATGCTTCTTCTGGGACTGATTACAAAAATCCAGATCTGCATAGATTAAAACAAAAGAGGAAAAACAAATTCCAAGGATTGTTGACGATGTTATTATGACAGTTTCATGTAATCGGCCAGATAATACTGTTTCTTCTTTGTATATGTGCTTCACGTACACTTGCTCATCATACAATTGATGGTAACTTTATTGTCATATAATATGCCACATCTGTATGTATGGAGAACTATGGGAGTTGTAAGATAAATCATTCAACATAACCCCAAATCCAATATTTTTCAGTGGAGTCTATCACACTTCTCCAGCTTAACAAATGCAATACTTTAATTAATAATCAGGTGAAGTGCATGCATATATGCTCTAGTCTTAAGTATAGATCCCTGTTACTTTGCTTTTTCTACTCCATCACTAGCCCATTTTGCTTTTTCTAGTCTATTGATATTTCCTACCCTAGAAGGAGAACTAGGGTTTACTCATGGTAAAGGATTACTAAGATCCCAGATTTAGATAAAATTACTATGCTCAGGTTTTATGAAATCAAGGGGGTAAGTTCATTCCTTGTGACAGGACATAAAGTGCATCTAATTGTCTCTGAGCAACAGCTATAGATACTTTCTTTCAGTAATGTCTTGATTTGCAGGAGCAGTGTTTTCCAATCCTTGGCAAAGGGTAGGAGACAGAGACGCTGAGATTTAATTCCATCATCACTAGCCATTTTTTTTAACTTAGGCTTAAATGAGCCCACCAATAAGAGGTTGGCATCTATTGCTATTCCTCCAGTGAGATCAAATGGCTCGTGCAAGGCTATGTATGCAGTGGGTGGGTCTGAAAGGATCCAGCCAGCATGTCCTTTTGAGGGACCATTATGGAATCAGGGAAGGACAAGCATAACAGCAACACATGAAATGGAGGCTTCAAGCCAGGAAAATGTGTTGCTTTCAGTGCCCCTTGAGGAATCCTAGGTAGTTGTCATGTGCCAGTCATAACATTAGTTAATTGTTTAATTCAAGTATTCACAGTAAGAGCTTTCCCTGATAGATGGCCAGTAACTTTTTTCATCTGTAGATTTGTGGCTGACCAAAACCCCCCCGAAGAGGGTTAAGTGTTCAGCCAGACAAGCATAGCTTGAAACCAAAACTAAGTTTCGAAACACCCTTTGCTCCACAGTTTCACAGAATAACAGATCTGTCCTGTACTAACTGTATTTCTGTCTTTTGTCCAGTCTCTAAATATTAATGAAATTAACAGAAGAGGTAAATCACGATACTAATATTTGCACTTGGTCCTAGAAACAAGTCTCTGGTCTTTTCAATCAAACTATTTTTTCTATTGCTTCGCTCATACATGAAAGCACTGAGATTCAAACCAATCTCTTTTGCTTTTGTGGGAAGTATTTTCTCCTTCTCCTTCTCCTTCTTCTTTATAAATCTTATTGGGAAAGCTGTACTTGTTCAGTTGTAAAGTCAGTCTGGAAGGAAAAAGCATCAGCTACTCTGCTTTTATTAGGGCTACCATGTCTGGAATGCAAAACTGGATGACTACAAGATGAAAGCAGAAAAACACAGAATATGTGCTGCCATCTAGTCACTGAGTGAGGTTTTGCAGCCTGGATATAGTAGCCCTACTGTCATTCCTGATAGTGCCCAGTGTTCTTTCTCTATTTAAAATATATGAACAAATTACAAAAGCCAAAACTTGCCCTTAGTGCACACATCCTGCTAAGCTATAATGTTGTTTGCCTGTTGCCGGTTTGTTTGATGTGTAAATCCATCAGTTATGGTTACCTGTCAAGTGTAACCCAGGCCACAGTGGTTTGTTCAAGAAATTAAAGTTTAATGTTATCCGTAAATGCAGCCACTGAATCCCCATGCTGAGAAAAACTTTATCTGCTGAATTATTAGCTGTCAGTTTCTAAACAAACTTAAGCTAGCCAGAACTTGAGAGTCTTGAAATCTACTACAGTAGTGCATATACACACACAGACACCACGCAAATATTGCTCTGGTTAAATCCTTAAAGCAGCTCTCCTGAATCTCACCTTCCAGATGCACTGAGACAACAATACCCAGAATTCCTAAATAGCTTAGGAGAGTTAGCACATATGAAGGGCAGAAGGTTGGCAGTCCAGGTGTTACTGAACTACATACTACTTCAGCAGCATACTCTTCAGCATGGAAATGTTGAGGGCTGCTAGGAACTGTAGTTTAGCAACATCTTGAGTGGCATAGGTTCCATGTCCCTGCCATAAGATTTCCGTTCTTTCCCGAGGCAACACATTTGTAGGGGTAATGGAATAGGATATGTTCTATTTGTATATTCTACTAATTAGTTTCTCCTCACCTCTAATAGCCTTTAGAACACCAAGTAAACAAAGGCAGTTCAATAAGGAAATGTTTTAGAAAAGGCCTCTTATTTTTTTACAATTTTGTTAGATTTATAGCCTATGAATTGGTATACGTAGGAGCTTAAATTTGTGTACATAGCATTTCCCCCTCTAACTTTTTCCTGTGAGGTAGGTTGGGCTGAGAGAGAGTGACTGACCCAAAGTCACTCAATGAGTTTTCATAAGAGAGGATGTCCTACCCAACTGCTACACCAGTCTTATTTTACATGGAAGAGAATCCAGGTTCAAACCCTGGCATTTCCAGATGTCTAAGAAAAACTTCTGATTAAAATCATGAAAAGCTACTTGCCCTAGATTATGATTTAAAAAGTTCCAGTACATTTTATTTCTTGGAACAACATTATGTTATTCTTATCATTCTGCTTGAGTAGTTACTAATGGGATTATTTCTCTTGCAATTAAGATGAGATATGGTACTCAACAAGGATGCCTCTTATCTCTTTTAATTTTTAACTTGGTGTTGGAACCTTT